CTAGAACTTGGACACAGTTCTTAAATCGTAGACACAAGGCTTTAGAGGGTTTCTAGATTCCCGCGTTCCGTTCCGTCTGTTTTGATTGCCTTATATTACATGGAGCAGATTTTGAGCGGAAAAGCGGAACGGAAAATTATAAAATATTAATTTTGAACGATATGTATTGATTAAAATTCTTATTTTCAATAGATAAGCTAAAAAGATAAGCATATTAATCAAAATTACAATTAATTAAGTGAAAACAATGTTAAAAAATAAATAAATACATCCATTTGTCACTATATCGTTCCGCTTTTCCGTGCAAATAGTGCTCCATGTAATATAAGGGGCAATCAAAACAGACGAAACGGAACGCGTCAAATCATTGTCAATGTAGACACAGCATCAAATTTCGGAGTCGGAGTCGATTGAAGAAGAAAGTTTTTATATATTTAAATTGTATTATTATTTTAAAAGTGACAATATAATATCAAGTACAATATCATGGATCCAAACATCATGTTGATGAAATATCTTATACAAGCACGGGATGAACCGATGAGATATGCAGAGATAACTATGAAAAAAGTTATTTCAATGTATATTTTATATTTGCGTTACAAGAAACTGCAAGAAGGTGTTGTTCTTGCGGTATCATCGAGAAACCTCATTTCTTCATAATGAGAAAACGAACTTCGTACAGGATGACCATGGATTCTGCTCCAGGGGCCCGATTCTCGAAATCATTCGAAGGAGAAACGTATACGAACATTCTGCTCTGACAGAAAAGTTGAAAGTTCGATTGGTTGAAGCCACGCGAATAGCCAATCAACTTGCAACTTTTCTGTGAGAGCAGAATTTTCGCATACGTTTCTCCTTCGAATAAATTCAAGAATCGAGCCCCTGATCCGCTTCGTATGTATCCCTGCATCTTCTTTCTCGCTTTTATGTATGAATCTCGTAGGTGTTTCCATCTCTGCTTAACTATTTCCATGATAAGCGGTTATATTTTATCTAGAATCTGCAACACAAATGTCATTTGTAATGATTGTTTAGAATCTGTTGGGTCCAAAACATATGATCCTACTGTATAATTTTTCAAATTAGTTCACCTTAGATGTTATAGAACAAACACATTGTTTTATGTGAACACTGAAACTTTTAATTATTTTTGTCAAATGGAAATTATTTTTCGACGATAAATTTCTAATTAAAAAAATGTAAACTGTGATTTAGTTAATTTTTGTTATGTGTAAGATGACACATTTAAACTGTAACACCCTTAAAAACTGTCACAATATTTCAAATATAATGAATCGATTTATTAGATTTAGAATTAAAACATGCTGCCGAGGAAAGGGTTTAAAAAATCCAATATATAATAGTTTAACAATGGCAAGACATTTTATTGTACAATAAAAGTATTGTCAAATAACAGTATTATTTTATTACCGTTTAGTACCATTAGTATTAAACAAGTTTATCTAGCATTGTAAACTTATCTAACAGTATACATTATTATGGTTTAAACAATGATAACTAAAACTTGTCAATATTTTGTAATTTATCACTAATTTTACTTAATCTAATAATTGGCGCTTATTTCTCAAATCCAAATTTAACCGCGTTCACAGTACTTGAAGTGGGAATATAGCATTGGTGATTGGTTCTGCCATTTTGCTTCAAAGCCAATGAGAACTTTGACAAGACTGGCCAGACTCTCTTCTAGGGACTCTAGTCGCGCTCGTCGTTGTCGCACATCCCTGTCAATCCCCCGCGTTCTTGGGTGAAGGCGCATACCCCGACGCGCCGTTTCGGTATCGAGTCTCTCTCTTTCTGCGTGGCATGCATTCGCGCAATTCGCGTTTCGCTCGCGGCGGTAGTGCGGACGAGAGGGAAAAAAAAGAGTCTCCTGTTATTTCCGGGTGTGGTTCGGCTTCCGGCGATTAATCCACGTACTCTCTGTGTGTGTGTGTGTGTGTGTATGTATGTGTGAGTGTGTAAACGGGCCACGGCTGTACGTTTTTTCGTGGCGTATACTCCGGACGATCCTCTCGAGACGTGACGACGTACACATCGTCGCATCATGAGAGCGGCCGCGTAGTCGGCCGAAGGGCAGCCTCGTTCGGGTGGAAATGAGCTGGGGACGGCGGCTCGTACGCATTCGTGCCGCGGAGCGCTACGGAGAGTGCCGTTTCCCCGAGGCGGGTCGGCCCGTGCCATATCGCCGCTAGTCCTGCACACGGTTCGTTCCGCTATCGAAACGGCGAGAGCACGCGGACAATGTGAGAGTTGTGTGTGCGCGTGCGAGCGTGTGCGTGTGTGCGCGTGTGTGCTTGCTCTGATGTCACGCGAGCGCGTCTGATTTGACCGAGTTAACGCCGTGGAGCCGTGAAAGATGCTGGTGAGTAAACAGGCAGGAGAGAGAGAGAGCGTAGCGCGGACGCGGAGCGCGACAGTCGCGGCAGCGACAACGTACACGACTTGTCCTAGGTGTCTCCCTGTATTTTCGCGGCTCCGCCGTTATGACATACCGTTAACGCGTTCGCGCTTCTTCTACCTCCCCCTCTCGAGTCCCTCGCGTGCGCGTAACGACACATGCATCTATACCCGTCCATCTTTACTTTTCATTTCTCTCTCTCTCTCTCTGTCTCCCTCCTCTCTCTTCTTTTGTCCCCTTTTGTCTGGAATTTGAGCCCGGATCACCCGGGTTGCGAATCTCCTTCTTCTACTTGACGTAATGCCGATGCCGCCGCTTGCAGAAGACGTGGAGCGCCTCGCGAGGTCTGAAGATTTGTTTTTCCTCGCGGACGCGCGGGGAAAGCCGACGTAGATTGTACTTTCTAGATGCGAGAGTCGCCTGCACGAGACGACGCGGCTGCCAGCGTGTGCACGTTGGCTTGACTTTTTCTTCATATGTGTCTTTTTTTTACACTCTTATACTCGTATTCTCTGCCCCGGCGCTCTCCGCGATGCAAATGTACCCGAATTGATCTTTTGATCGCTATTAGAACACGCCGCGTATTGTCGTTATCTTATTTCTTTTTTTGTGAGGTCAAGAACCAATTGTGAAAGTACGATTGGGAAAAACAAACGCGTACTTATACGTTTATATTCTACGCTCGCTTGTGAGAAGGTTAATTTATTTCTCTCAACTTGTACTTTTTTGTCTGCGAAGATAGACTTCAAATAGAACTAGCTTTTGTATTCTTCGTTTAGTTCGAGTGGAAAGAATATTAAAAGGCACAGTTCAAGGTATAAATTTAACGTATTTGTATAGTCCGCTTGTAAACTGTCGTAGGTATGTACGTATCACATCCCGTACAGCACGAAACTTGCAGTTACATTGTAGTAACATTGCTACAATATTACAACATTGCTGCAATGTAGCTGCAATGTAACTGCAAGGATTGTGCTGTATCCCACACAGCACAGAAAGATTGCAGGAAGATTGCAGAAATGTTTCATTGCAAGATTGCAATATTGCAGCAACGTTGCGCAACATTGCTGCAACATTTCTGGAGGATTGCAGCAACGTTGAAATGTCCGCCCTCAGAGAGATTGCAGTGCAACATTATAGCAATGTTGCAGTGCAATATTTTTGGAATAATTTGTTGTACACGCACCGGCATAAATGCTGTCCCTATTCTTGTGAGGTGCACGCACACAACTAGAGTCCCTGTAGTTGTGTGCGTGCACCTCACAAGGATAGGGTCAGCATTTATGCCGGTGCGTGTACATAAGCAGAGAATTTACCAATTACATATGCATCCGGGCCTGTTTCAATACACAGCAAGCTATTGCGAAGCAACCTAATAGCCGTATCACACTAGCAGTTCGCGTTGGCGTTGCCGTTGGCTGTGCTGCGTCTCGACCAATCAGAGAATAGCAGTTGGCGATAGCGGCTTGCGGCTTCAGAATAGCCGGGCATCTATTTTTCTCAACGTGTGATACGGCTATAAGGAGATTATGTCGCTTCGCAATAGATGGAGATTGCGAGCAACACCGCACTGATCAAGTACTTAATAATTCGCGCATTATTGGTATCAACGAAAATAACATTATAAAATTCTCGTAATTAGAAAAATGTTTTAAATAGAAAATATAGTATTTTTATTATTTTTGAAACATTGCTGCAACATTGCTATCGAAAGTTTGCAATTTTATATCCCTGCAATGTCTCTGCAAGATTGCAACGTTTCTGCAATGTAACTGCAACCATAGGCTTGTTTTCTGTTCCTACACTAGTGAAATAAATTGGAGTAAGACAAGCATATTTTTTCTCATTCTAGCTTACTGCACTAGTTCACCAGTGCAGGAACAGAAAACAAACCCCATCTGTGCTGTATGGGTGTCTTATAAATGACGATTACGTGTCCCGAATTAAAATTGCATATCTATATGTATGTACGATACAAATTAGTACAGACGTTAATTGAAAGGTTTAATTTATGTAATTTACACAATTTATATTTATGTTTGTTTTCTGAGCGATTAATTTATTAAAGTTGTGTGTGAAACTTGCGTTACAAGTTTCAACGTAAAATCGTTGATTGACACGGAATGAAATAAATTATTTTTTGCAGGGAGACGACCCACCGTCCCTCTCGGTGGGTACAGAGGTCAGCGCCAAGTATAAGGGTGCCTTCTGCGAGGCGAAAATCCGTAAGGTGGTGCGATCGGTGAAATGTCGCGTGACTTACAAGCCGCAAGGTTTAGGGACCGCCACGGTCGCCGACGATCAAATAAGAGGAACTTTAAGAGTAGGCGCCTCCGTCGAAGTTAAACATGTAGATCGGAAAGAACTTGTGGAAGCCACAATTACGAAGATTCAAGACTGCAGCCAGTACACTGTGGTCTTTGACGATGGGGATATCACGACGTTGAGAAGAACTGCGCTCTGTCTGAAAAGCGGGCGGCATTTCGCGGAAAGTGAAACGCTAGACCAACTGCCGTTGACTCATCCCGAACACTTTGGGAACCCCGTAATTGGGGGTAGAAGGGGCAGACGATCAAGGCAAGCGCAGTAAGTGCTGTGAAGAAATCTGTTCTTAAAAGTCGGTAAAATTGTCTAACGTTAGTTATAAAACCTTTACGCGACAGGGATGACAGCAGCGAGGATGAGGACAGTCCACCGCGAGGCGCTCGTGACACGGCTTCTAGCGGAGGTGCGAAGGAGGGAATGGAAACTGAACCAGAGATTGGTAGAGTGGTGTGTGTGGAGCTCGGTGACAAGAAGAAGAAGGACAATTGGTTCCCAGGACTAGTGGTTGCACCGACTGCTCAAGATACAGTGAGAATACGAGTGAGAGACGATTACTTGGTGCGTTCGTTCAAAGATGCGAGATAGTAAGTGAGAAATCTCTATTATCAAGTACACGGAGAGTATTTTCTCTCAAAATTTAATCTGAAAATCATATAATCGTTTTTGAAATTTTATCATACATTCCACTAGTAATTATACTTATTGTTAGTATACATTTTACTAGCAGAATGTATGGTAAAATTTAACATTTTACATCATCAGAGATTTTTATTGACCGTATCTGGCAATTTTAATAATACAGAGAATTTATTGCGAAAAATATTACCTCAGCCAGGGTGAGTTCGAACCTGGACTTACCTACACTTTAGGCGGGCGTCTCAACCAATTCGACCACCGAGGCTTTAAATAATTTTAATCCACATTGAAAAGGAACCAAAACGGCAAAATCAGAAGTTAGAAAAGTGGCACCTAATATCGCCCACCTTATAAAATTTTATAAAATCATTGTTCATTAACATGTATGAGTTTGTGAAGCTATATTTATATAGCTATTTATTATTTTACATCATATAAACGTTTGTAAGTGTCTAAAAAATGTTTAAATATGTGTGATTATGTTTCAAAAATTATTTTATTATATATGTATAGCACATTATTTCGTAATATTTATACATCGAGTCAAGTGTAAGTCAATTTTTTATTCTTAAAATTGCACGCACATAATATTGCCTAGGCGCATATTGTTACGGACACCTCCGTAATAAAATGGTGGGCGGTATTGAGTGCATCTTAATCTAGACACTAAAAACATTGTAACAAAAATATACATTACACCGTTGAAACCAGTTAAAAGTAGTGAAATATATCACTACTTGTGTGTATTCCTAGTAAATATTTATATCTTAAAAGAACGTTTGAACTTACATTCTCACTATGGGATGTCGAACTTGCACTGTCAGCTGAATTTTTCAGCATGCAAAATTAGTTTTAATGCGTCTCCTGAGTCAAACGTTATTTCTTTACCGTTGTAACTACAATATGTCTTCTTACACATGTTTACCCATACAGCACAGATGGTTGCAATTACATTGCAGAAACGTTACAATCTTGCAGATTGCAGTGCAATCTTGCAGAGACATTGCAGGGATATAAAATTGCAAACTTTCGATAGCAATATTGCAGCAATGTTTGAAAAATAATAAAAATACTATATTTTCTATTTAAAAAATTTTTCTAATTACGAGAATTTTATGTTATTTTCGTTGATACCAATAATGCGCGAATTATTAAGTACTTGATCAGTGCGGTGTTGCTCGCAATCTCCATTTATTGCGAAGCGACATAATCTCCTTAGGTTGCTTCGCAATAGCTTGCTGTGTATTGAAAAAGGCCCGGATGCATATGTAATTAGTAAATTCTCTGCTTATGTACAACAACAACAAATTATTCCAAAAATATTGCACTGCAACATTGCTATAATGTTGCACTGCAATCTCTCTGAGGGCGGACATTTCAACGTTGCTGCAATCCTCCAGAAACGTTGCAGCAATGTTGCGCAACGTTTCTGCAATATTGCAATCTTGCAATGTAACATTTCTGCAATCTTTCTGTGCTGTGTAGGTAGCTACTAATTCTATGTATTGCCGATTGATATCAACACTTTGTTCACGAGATACCACGAGTGGCAATATTAGGTTCTGGGTGATATTAAGTGCCTTTACCCTACTAACAATAAGTATAATTGCTAGTAGAATGCACGTTAAAATTTGAAAAAACTAAAATTTGAAATTTTACTATATATTCTGCTAGTAAAATTTATACTAACAATAAGTATAATTACTAGTAGAACGTATGGTAAAATTTTAAGAAATTCTCATGAAATTCTTGGAAATACTATATTTTTCCACGATTACATGATTTTCAGGATAACTTTTAAGAAAAAATTCTCTCCGTGTACTGATTGCTGTTACATTACAATATTTGCAAATATTTTTTATATGTGTGTGTGCATACATTTATTTTTTCTAGTTATACAGTACCCAAGAAGGAAGCTACAGAGTTCACAAAAGAATTAGTTAACAAAGTTGAAAATAATACTTTGAAGGTTGCAGTAGAGAAAGCTCTTCTATTTTTAGAGAAAAATGAATTACCACCCCATTGGGACAAGGATTCCTTGTTCGGGCATTCCATTTCCAGTGGGAACAGCGATTACGATGGAGAACTCGACTCAGATGTAAGATTTATTTTTTATCTACTTATGTTCTTCATTTCCCCCTTTTCCTTCGCATTTTACAATGACTGTGAAACACAATGTGGAATAAAATATGGTTTTTCCAGAGTTCGGACGACGAACCGCGCGAGGAAAAAGATCATTTTGTAGCTCAGTTGTATAAGTTTATGGATGATCGCGGGACACCTATAAATGTTTGTCCAATGATTGGATCTGAGGACATAGACTTGTACCGGCTTTTCCGAGCGGTGTACAAATTGGGTGGTTACAATCGTGTCACGAATCAGAATCAATGGAAGGCCGTGACACGGCGACTTGGTTTTACGATGCAGAATTCGGCGCCTTTGTACAATCTTGTGAAACAGGCTTATAAGAAGGTCTTGCACTCCTTTGAAGATTTTTATAGGAAACTAGGCTGCACCATGGTGAATCACCCGCGAGGCAGCACGCGTAAGCAACGTCCTGGAAGAAGTTTGATTCGCGACAAGGACAGAAATACTCCTATACCACCACCAGCACCGGCGCAAGTAAAAAGTGACAAGGATGAAGATGAGAAAAAAGTTGTGGAGGATGAGAAGAAAGAGAAGAAGGAAGTTAAGAAGGAGCCAGTCAAGGAAGAAGAAGTTGTCAAGGTAAAAAAGAAGGAAGAATCCGAGGGAAACGGTAGCGGCCAGGAAAGCGACGTAAATGTGGAAGCAGATATCGAATCGTCGTCCAATAATGAAAAATCGCCACAAAAACCGTCCACGCAAATTTCCACGTTATCTCCCACTTCGTGCGGTACTGCAGCTGCGTCGTCCAGTCGGGTCAAGTCGAAAGGTAAAGAAGACACCAAGAAGAAGGTGACTGAAAAGAAGAAGACGGAGACCAAAAAGCAAGAGAAGAAAGATGAGAAGATCAAGGAGGAAGAAGCCACCAAGACAAGATCCAAGGCGAAAGATGACACCGTGAGAAATAAAGGTGCCTCCGAAGGAAGGGAGACTCGGACGCCGTCTCGAGAGGCAGACAAGAAAACTGTGTCTAAGCAGCGGCGCTTAACGGACGAGGAATTGAAGAAACGAGGAAGAAAACGTAAGGAGTATGAAACGGAAAAGTCGCGTGCGGACGAGCAGCTTGCGGAGACCGCGCCTAGCTACAAAGGTCCCGTGGAGTGTGGCGACAAGTTGAAAGTGTATTACGGCCCGACGCACGAGTCCAAAGTTACTTACGAGGCGAAAGTCATTGAGATAGAGAAGGAAGGCCCAATGTACCTTGTACATTACACGGGTTGGAACACCAGGTACGACGAGTGGATCAAAGCGACTAGAATCGCTCAAAATATTACGCAAGCTCAGGGTAGAATAAAGCGCGTCAAAGCAACTCCTAGGCCCCAAACTCCTAGCACGAATTCGTCCAACAACGTCAACAAGCTGAAAGGTACTTGCAATTCGAGTGCCAATGCATCGCAGAGTCGTCGCCGGGCGCAAAGTGTCGCTCCTACTTCTAGCGCCGTTCAGTCAGCTTCGACATCTGCAAAGGAAGGCAAGAAGGAGGAGAAGGAAAAGGATACGGTACAGCCGACTAGGTCCACTACACCGCTATCTATCGCCAGTTCTAGTTCCAGAACCAAAAGTCCGGCCACACCCGCCAATAGGCCAACCAGAACAACGAGAAATGCCGAGTTATCCGGAATAGAGCATCGTAGGCGTACCAGAAGAACCTCGGGACATACAGACATATCAGTCGCATCGGAAAGCGAAGATAGCGAGGGTTACGAGTCCGATACCACCGAGTCCGAGCAAACCAAGACCAGGTTGAGAGGTATGGAAGAGAGGAAACGGAAGGAGGCGCGAGGCAGAGCAGAAGAGAGGATTAGAACGGACGATGCAATGGTGAGCGACGCTGACGATGACAAGGACAACTTGGATGAGCCACGCAAGGGTAGGCGTTTAAGAAGAACTCCCGGTAAATCTCAAGGTATCAAGTCCGAGCCTGATAGTGATCAAGAGGAGCAGCCGAAGGGTCGAGACTTCGATCTCAATCAGATACGATCTGAATTGAAAGGTTTCGACAAAGCTGTCAAGATGGAAATAGTCAGAATGGAACCTGATGACGAAGTCAAGTTGGACGAGAAGGAGAGCGTGACTACCGCGTCCACGGCGTCGCCCAAATTGGAGAAAGCTATCGAATCCCCGAAAGTGGAGGTTGTCGAGACGAAGGTGGAAAGTACAGAAGATATATATGAATTTAAAGAACCGGAGCCGTTCGAGTTTGAGGTACGAAATAAAAGAGATACCACCTGTGACAAAGATAAACTGAAGAAGAGAATGTTTGAGGACGAAGCCAAGAGTCCGAAGAAGAAGCCAAAGACACCGGTTACGAGCTCGGTGACGAAGGAAACGAAATCGGAACCGGCGGAAAGCGACTCTCGGAAAAAACCGAGGAAATTGTTCAGCAAGAGATCAGACGACGCGCACGAGACGGTGACGACTACGTCGGGCAAACCGCCGCAGGTCGTGTCGTGCGAAGACGTTTTCAATAAGCTATGCGAGTCGTCCACATCGTCGTTCAGTCAATTGAAGTCAACCGTTGCGGAAGAGTCGAGTAACAAGGCGGCTGGTTTAAATCTCTTGTTCAACGACTTGCCAGCGGACGATGAAGTTACGCGCGACGACTCTGAGGACCGTCTGATCATTTCGGAAACCGAGGTATCGGAGGCGGAGCAAGAAAATATGTTTGCATATCAGCAAGAGATTCAGTTCCAAGGCGGCAAGTCGCCGAACGCGGTGGAATTAAATAAGAGCGAGACGAACGCCGCGGCTGAGGCGAAGGAAGAAATGTCGATGATCAGCACGAGCAGTAATAAATCTGCTAACATTCCGGATCAGAAACCGAACCAGGTCAAGTCGTTGCCAGGTCAAATCGCTGCTAGTCAGTCGCAGGCAGAGTCGAAGACGTTGGATTCAAAGTTGCTCGACATCGTCCCGGTTCCGTCGCCTATCGTGACGCCGCCTGCTCCTATAAGCGCGCGACTGCCGGCGACATCCACGATCGAAGAGAAATTGTCAGCTGCCGCGATGGCATTCCGAAGCAAAGCTAAAGACGTTAAGAAGACTTCGGACGAGGAGGCGCTTGATGTCGTGCGCGTAATCAAGGTACTGAAGGAAACGTCCAAGAAATTAGACACTCCTAATCTCCTTCACAGAGGAAAGGATACGGATTGCGTTATTCCCGCGGCCGAAGTGGATAAGAAATGCGAGCAGGAAAAGAACGATGAGAATCTGCGCAGAGAAATCATGCGCGCGATCGCGAAGCGGAAGGAAGAAGAGATATTGAAGTTGAAGAAGGAAGCGGAAGAGATATCGAAGCCGAAGAAGTTCTCAGAGGCGAAGGCACAGGTTGCCGAGCACAAGATCAAATTGCAGGAGGTCACGAGAGACGAGGGTTGGAGAAACGCCGGGTACGAGATGCCCGACAAGAAGCCCGAGGAGGAATACAAAACGACGGATCAGAAGGAGAAGGACAGGATTGATAGTCGCAAGAAACAAATCAATCAGGATATTATAGATTCCACGGATAGCAGTGATTCAGAACAGAGGCTCGTGATAGACAACGAGGAGCCGCAGGACGTTAAAGCGCCGGTGTCCACCTTCGACGTGAAGCTACAAGCGGAATTGGATTGCACGGAGAGCACGCAGGAGAGATACGCGAGGTCGCAGGCGTTGAAGACTTCGCAAAGTGTTCATCAACAGGAACAGGAGTCTTGTTGCGTGGAGTTCAAGACTGACGCGATGCCCGTTCTAAAGACGGACGAGGAGGGCGAGACAATGAATTCGCTGCTGTGCGAAGAGGAGATACCTGGCTCGCCGGCCCCGCTACCCGAGGGCATCGAGCAAGCCAGCGTCGGTTCTTCGCGCAGTCCACCGAAGAACGAAGTCACGGAAAGTAGCCTGGTGCTGATGGAGATGCCCTTTGCGAGTGCACCGACCTCGAGTCAAAATGCAACGAGCAACAGTACCGTCGCTACCCTCAGCATGGCTTTGCCGAAGACCATGGAAACGTCAATGCCGGGTTCACTACCAGCGCAACAGAACACTGCTTCAAACATGCGGCAGTCGCAGCAGCAGCAGCAGCAGCAGCAACAACAACAACAACAACAACAACAGCAGCAGCATATGTTGGCTCTGATACCACCACGACGAGGGAGCAACGAAGCCGCGCCGGTGATGGACAATACGCCGCCGACGACGCCTGACTCGAGCATCTCCAACATTTCGGGCTCGCCTAGGGACGAGAGAACCGGTGGTTCGTCGCCGGCCTCCGAGGACAACGTCAAGCTCAATCGCGACAACCCCGAGGCGGACCATGACGACGCTGGTAAATGCTTGGGCCTCAGCGAGGACGACATTTTACCCAACTCCGAAGCCAACTCCGCAGATAGAATTCTTAAGCCGCCTGCCAAACGTACGATCGAAGACATGCAGTCACCTAAGAAACGCAAGAGGAATAGAAAACACTCGGAGTGCGGAAGCGGCAGCATCGGCGTCGGCGTCGGCGTCCCCGATGGCATCGGCGTTGGCGTAAGTGTCGGCGTTAATGCTGGCGTGGACGTTGGGATTGGTGTCGACGTCGGCGTCGGTGGCAGCGGCAGCAGCAACAGCAACAGCAATAGTGGTTGCGGCGGCGGTGGCGATGGTGACGGCGGTGGCAGTGGCGGCGGCAGAGGTGGCGGTGGCAATGACAGTGGCAATGTTAGTGGCTACGGCAACGGCAATAATGGTAGCGGCGGCGGTACCATTCCGAAGAAACCTGGCAGACAAAACGGTAGGCACGGCAGATACGGGCCTGGAAGCGACAGCGACGACACTAGCGAGGGATCCAATCTCTGCGGGGTCAACAGCACGCCGACGAGTCACATCACTACCATCACGAACGTGCCCGATCTCAGCACCTACTCGTCGAGATCGCCGAGACCGACAAAGTACAATTTTTACGTCGAATTGGGTACGTTAAATACACTTCTAATGTACACTTTTTCATCAAGGAATGATGCGTTTGATTCAAGTCGGCAAGATCTTGTTAGATTGTGTAATTTTATCGTGTTAAACGTGGAGATCCTTGTTCGTTTGATTATTTTTAATCCTAAGTCACAGATTTGGAGAAGGATATTTTTTAAATCTAATCTATATGTCGCTATGTGTGTTGTATTTTCACAGATCCGGAATTGGATGGTAGTCAAAGGATAGCTGTACTACAGCAGAAATTAACTGAATTACGGAAGACGTACAATGCCGTAAAGGTTGAGCTTGCTGCTATAGAAAGACGTCGGAAAAAACTAAGAAGGCGAGAACGAGAAGGTACTACATATAACAAATTTCTGATAATTGAATAGTTTTCCTCATTTCATACCTTTCGTAATTTCAGATTTTTCTTCATTAATAACTTAAAATATTAAAAACACATGATTACAATTTTGTAATATAATCTATTTGTTACTGTTACAGTCATTACCTTTGTTTTTTAGTTTAATTACTGTACATGATAATTCTTGATATTTTTACGTTTCAATTTATTTATCATATACATGAAATCAACTTGTATAAAAAGGCATCTTATAAATTTACGTAAACATGTAAATAAGTCGTTTATCAAATTTGGCAATTGCTTCTTTCTCTCTCTCTTTACCTCTCCCTTTCTGTCTGACGAGATTAATGATGATGTTGCCTGATGATGTTGATTAGATATTTTTACTTGTCAGTGCGAGAAGTTATGTACGAGGGTGAGTTAAAAATTATCCGCACTTTTCGTTCTACAATTTATTTACACAAAAATAGGGGTTCAATATGTACGTCATTTTTCAACATAGTCTCCGCCCTTGGCAATGCACTTGGTCCAGCGGTCCACAAGCGTATTGCTTCCAAAGAAGAAGGTGTATTTCTTCCAAGAAGAAAGCCACTTTTGCACCGCTTTCTGCAAGCCCAGATCTTGCTCCCTCCGACTTTCATCTGTTTCGGCCGCTCAAGGATGCCTTGCGAGGTCGTCAAATTTCTACAGACGTAGACGTGCAGGAAGCGGTGCAAAAGTGCCTTTGCGACCAACCGAAAACCTTCTCGGAAGGTACACGCAAGCTTGTGCACCGCTGGACCGAGTACATTGCCAAGGGAGGAGACTATGTTGAAAAATGACGTACATATTGAACCCCTATTTTTGTGTAAATAAATTGTAGAACGAAAAGTGCGGATAATTTTTTACTCACCCTCGTATATTCCTAAAATAGATTCCTGTTTTCTAGTATTTTGTATTTTACATTTTGTTTTTATGATAAAAAATCTATAGATGTTTTTTATTACAAGTGTCTCAAATTCATGCAACTTTATTATATAATAGATAATTCTTATAATTTGTCATTCTAATGAGACTGAATAGATAATTATTATAATTTGTCGTTCTAATGAGACTAAATTTGTTTAAAAAATATATATATATGCATATAGGTCACATCAAGTACCTACATACCTATGGCTAGGTGATGCATGTACCGAAACTTATTATTTGTTAACAAACGTGGATATGAGAATTAAAAAAAATTCAGTCTCATTGTATTAGAGTCGAAAAATATACGCAAAGATGTCATTTTTATACTGTTATTGCGACAAATATTACCACATGCCTCAGTGGTGAGACGCCCGCCTAGAGAGTAGGGAAGTTCAGGTTAAAACTCTGGCCGAGGTAATATTTTTCGCAAAAAATGTTCTGTACTAAAACACTGGCCGGTTAATGTCGACTAAAAAGCTTGATTATTCTTCTTGTATCTGTCTCACAGATATAGAAACTAACGCAAAAACGTTGTTACAGCAATGAAAGCAGCTAAGGCAGAAATGCAGCAGGCTTGTTCGTGATAGAAAGTATGAACAGTTACTATTCTCTCTTCGAATATTAAATGAGATTATTGGATAAGAATATTGGCACGGGCATCATGCAATCACGCCAGCCACTTCATGACAAGTTTTATCTATGTAATCGGTTAGATAACATTTAGCCTTGCAATCTATCTTTATTTAAATAAACTGTAGATATAGTCGTAAGATTTAATGTAACGAGAATACGAGTTAGTCTCAGAACAGCAAATTTATTCATATATAATGTAGTTGTGTTACTGTACATTATATATTCCATTAATCTTTCATAGTCTAAATGTTATAAAACTTTAGTCTCATTTTGGCATTTTGCATGTTCGGATGCAAAGTACAAATTATCAAAACTGATGATCCTCGTTTTTATTTCTCTCCAGTGCTTTTTTTTTCTTATAAGAAAAAGGCCAGTGAGCTCTATAATATACTAGAGTGGTCCTATTGTTCTCGATGTCGTCGAGAGAGAGAGGTGCTGTTAGGTGAATCTCTGTCTCTTCCTCTACTGACCGGTCAACGATTTTCTATCTTGCCTTATACGAGTGAGCTAGAAATCGTGAAGATTGTCGACCAATTAGATAATAGAGAAAGAGAGACAGGGACTTACCCAACAGCACCTCTCTTTTGGCGGCATTGAGAATAATAGGAAACAATAGGACCACTCATTCCAGTATTAACTTACTGGAATCGGAGCGCACTGAAAAAGGCTGAGAGAGCGTTATCGACGTGTTATTGTAAAGACATATTGGGGAACAATTATCTAAGCTGGCTATCACTTCCGTTTCTCGAGTACGATTATATCAGTTGTAATTGAGCTGTTTTCACAAAATGTTGAAGAAAAGAGAAGAGTCACAGGAAGGATTATACAATGATTATACAGTCACGCGTGAAATGTTGCGTTTTTTTAATATTGTAACAAATGAGTGTAAATACTAGAAGCTAGCAAAATTTCTTAAACCATGGATACATTGTATTGCGAGATATACACAATTATACATACATATACACATGTTTGTATGACGAAATATTGTATATTAATACGCGTATGAAATAAAGCGATTCCTAACTATTAGATTAAAAACGAGGACTAGCATTTTGTGTCTACTTTAATTTATGTATATAACCTTGTAAAGACGATGTCATACAGGGTGAGTCTTTCCATATCCGACAAAATTTTTGAGAAGGTAGAACGGATCGAGATGAACGGAAAAGTCCTGTATCATTTTGCAATTTTCGTAATAATTATTAAAAATCGTTGTCTTAGGCTGGCCTACCGCCCAATTCGAGCGCGTGGCGAGATGTGCGCATAGCAATATCGATCGCCGGGCAGTCACATCTTGCCACGCGCTCGAATTGGGCGGTAGGCCGGCCTAAGACAACGATTTTTAATAATCAATTACTCGTTAACTATTACGAAAATTGCAAAATGGTACAGGACTTTTTCGTTCATCTCGATCCGTTCTACCTTCTCAAAAATTTTGTCGGATATGGAAAGACTCACCCTGTATACACAACAAAAAATACAAGTATAATAATGATAAATTCACATTTTAGATTACAATTATGGAGCTACCGACATCTTGCTCGGACCTAAGGGCGTTCTCATTTGTTTGATTTATAATAATTTGTGTAATTGATATTGGTTGCGGTCCATTTAATGTTACAAAGTTACGCATTGAAACCATCAATTTGTTTGCTCTGATTGATCAATTGAACGCTTCACAGTATTTATATACACACACACACATGCACATATATTATATACATGTCATGTATACATATACACACATATGTATATATACGTATACATAAAACAATATAAATAATATTTCCATTAAAAGATACAAGGATGTAAGACATTGCTTTTTCCATTTTCTCTTTCATGATCTACAATGCAGCGATTTATCGTGAACGCAGCTCAATGATACTAGTAGTTTACTGATTTCTACATCCATCTGCCGTTGTACTTTACCATTATTGAATAGTTGTACTCATTAGTACTATTATACGCCGTGTATTGGAGATTTGTCAAAGATGCATTTATATTTGTATTTCAACACACGTGAATCGAAGAGCGCTTCAAGTATGAAGAAATTAGACAAATGCAGAAAAGATACGACTTAATCGGGGAAAAAACACGTCGCAAAAACGTGAATCAAAGATCGTTAAATGAAAATAAATTTGTAAAAAGATATAAAGTTAACTTGTGAAAAGAGAATGAAGTTTTATAGATATATATATTCTCTCTCTTAAAACACATACGTGCATATTGTATTTGTGCGCGCATATGTGTACGTCTACAGGGTGCTAAAAAACTAAGTGCCACAAATTTGTGTGATGAAAGAATAGACAAGCATTTTAAGTACAGGAACCATGGGTCGGTGACGTTTTATTACGGCGTGATGGGCGTTTAATTGAATCGTCGCAACTCCTGCAATGCAGGTGGCTCGGACGGGGTGGACCTGTAACGTGGCCTGCAAGGTCACACCAGATTTAACACCTCTCGACTTCCTTTTCTGGGGTGCGATGAAAAATATGATTTATTCCGAACAAGTCGAATCCGAGGAGGATCTGGTCGCTCGCATCGTAGAGGCACTTGAAACCATCCGACACATGCCTGGAATATTCCAAAGAACGCGGCAGTCGTTGCTCCGTCGCTGCGTGACTCTTGTCGGAACGTTGGAGGTCGTAACTTTGAACAGTTATTGTAAATACATATATCAAGTTGACGAAATAAAATCATTGCATCGCAGACGTTGTGACGATTCAATTAAACGCCCATCACGCCGTAATAAAACGTCACCCACTCATGGTTCCTATGCTTAAAATGCTTGTACTCGTCTATTCTTTCATCACACAAATTTATGGCACTTAGTTCTTTAGCACCTTGTATATAAAATTTCATTCTTATAGATGCATATAAATATATATTTTTTATAAAAAGTCAATATTAGCTGTATGGTGTAAGAACATAATTATACTTAGGTCTGAGAAAAACGAAGAAGTTTTGTTTAGATTTTCTTCGCATTGTACATAGTTTTTCCATTGCGTGTGTATAAATATCTCGGTCAAATTTTAATAGTTTATCGCACATTTGGATGTAGCTGCGCATTTTCATGTACAATGATTTCAGAAACGTCGCAAAATAGTATGTTTTTGTCTTGAAAAGACCGGAGGATGCATTTTAATGAAAAGAAACATCTTATTCTCAGTAACTCGCGTGAGAATGTGAATGTTAAATCAAGTGCTAAATTGTGCAATGTTTTTTTTATGATAGATTACAAATAAATATCACAAATGCAATGCAACTTATACATTTAGTATTATTAAAATTTGTTTTAATATTATTAATCAATATATTGATATATAATTGGAGCTTTACAAATGATTAAAAAATGAGTAAAAATAATTTCGTTTATATTTTTTATTCAGAAATATGTATTTTAAATATATATATACATGTATATATATTGCTTATACTTATGATGCAACCATTACGATATTGTTTACTATATAAACTATTTTATCAGAAATTCTAGTTTAAAAATTAATTTGTAACCAAGATGAAAGCTAAGAATTGAAAGTTATAAATTTATCCAAATTATAAAGGGAAAAGATATATTATTAAAATGTGAGATGATAATTAACACTACTTATATTATTAATTGGATAATTTTAATTTATAGTAGGATATAACAAGTATCAATAATCTTGTATAGTTGACGATTTAATTTATCGCTTGCAGCGATGGACGCAGCATATAATTGCGATTTCGAGTATGTTTACACAAGCTTCAACTTTTAGTATATCTTACTATACATATACTTGTTACGGTAAACATTAAAGGTGTGACAAATGCATCCTCGTCTTTTGAAAACAATTATTTATCCTGTATATCATATAGCATTACATGTGAAATAATACATAATGATAAGCACAAGGTAAATTTGCGCCGTCAAGCAGATAATATTGTTTCACATAACATTTAACTGTGTCGATGAATAAGAAATAAATCTTATCTTAACAAAAAAGAAAAACAACGTTCTCTCTCGTATCATATTAGTTCTTCTTATTCCTGCACTTTTATTTACACAAGTCATATATTGAAACATATCGGAAGGTAAAATAAAAATGGAAATAACGTTACAGGTTATATTTAAAATCTGTTATACATATTATTTATTATATTATAGCTTGGAAACAAAGATGAATACATTAAGATGTAAAACTTATGCAAACTACTTGTTAATACAATATGATAATCATTATACAAATATTTAAATGTTATGGTACTTTGCACTTACTAGAATGATAAGACAACTTTTTCAATTATAAACGCAACTAAGTAATATAATGCACCATTAATGACAGACATAATACATAATATACAATATCTCTTTTATCACTTGTTCTGTATATCAATGTAGCGAATAACAGAAAATTTCATTGTGAAAATCAATAACTAAAAATACTCTCTCTCTCTCTCTCTCGACTTATTTCTTCGTATGCAATACAAGTGTAAGTTTCCGTATCTTAATTTTGCATGCCCTAATTTTCTATGGCTAAGAAATTTCTACATTATACAATATGGTATCGCATAAAGATTGTTTTCCAGGAGTATAATATATATCTTTGTACATCAGTAGAATTGATACATTAAAGATACAACAGTATCTCGTTAAAGAATCTTATAAAATGTTTTTAAGGAAAAAAACATTGTAAGATTCGTGAAATAATATATAATGTATGTATGACAAAGGGTCAGTTTAACAAACAACGGTTAACTGCTAACCGAAGGTTAATTGATTCTCTATGTCTTCTTAGATAATAAAACAGAAAAAATAGGGAGTCGACTGAACTTTGGTTGACAGTCAACCGACGTTTGTAAAACTGGCCCTGATGCCCATTTCTGCCAAAGCAATTAACTTTAATCTCAGTTTAACCTGAAAGTTTTCTCTTTCTCCAATTACTGAAACTATAGAAAAGGGTAAAATGTGAATTAAACCGAGATCAAATCTACATTGGTGGAAATGGACATAAGAGACGTATGAGCTATCGAGTACCCAGAGTAGCAGAGCAAGATTATAAATAAAGAAATGTTACCCAATTGGAGCAAACATACAATATCTCGAAAATAACATACGTAAGTTTAGAAAAATTTAGAGTTTACAAATTAATTTAGATAATGTCTTCTATATTCTACAACCACTACCTGCCATATATCGTTCATGATGATTTGACCGTAAATTGCACATTCATCGTTTTTTCCCCATTTTTATGTAATGCAGATAATACTCTTTTGTATCAAAATTTATGATTTACATTTAATTAGTTTACAACTTCAGTTTCATGTCTAAGAGGTCGAGTGGACGTTCACTTTGTAACTTTATCAGTTTCATATTTAAGAGATTGAGTGGATGTTCGTGGAGGTACATTCCATTGTGCAAAACGCATTGAACACTGAAACTACACGAGTGTACTTTGGATACTGCCTGCTGTCTCATACATCTCTGTAATGCGAATATATATGCACACATGTGCGTGTACATATTATACATACATGTGTGTGCATTTCTCTTCAATTATTTCAACATTATTGCGCTTGCCCAGAACATTTTACATTTAAAGTGTTACTTTCTTGCAGATTAGTTTCGCTCATCCATAGTCACAGATCAGCAAGGAAAAAAACTCAATGTAACCTCATAAAATTTCTTGTACAAATTGACAATCAATGCTGTCATATGTAATATAGTTTAATCTCGTTGAGTCTTTCTCCATACTTTTGACATTTTGTTCCCACGGAAGTAATGGACATCGGCATTGAACGTTTCTAATACCATGAAAAAAAAATACTTGTCTGTGACAAGTAACATAAAACATGCAAAAAATATCGTGTTACGCAGGTGTAACGTCACATTATTTTACTTCACCCTCTGTCCTTCTCTTTACACGTCTCTCACTCGTTGACTACCGGTTCAAATGAAATGAAAAATTATATAGAAATCATTCGAGCTTGGCGAACAGCGCGTTGAGCGAGAGTATACATTAGTTTTCCATTGCACATGTCAACAGGGAGGCGGGCTAGATGTCGGAGCTGTGTCTACGGTTGTCGCGGAAGAGGATGCCACTGCGGTCGTCTTATTGTCGGTGTTCAATCTCCGCCTGGTGAACATTATTTGTTCCATTAGCTCGTGATGCGCCTCTAATCGCTCGATGCAATGCAAACACGCAGTCTTTGGCAGCGGGTCATTCATATTTACCTGCAAAAACGTACAAAACTATTTTATCGCGATACCTCCTTTAGTATCATAAATTGCACAGATGACAAAGTAGTCGGTGATAAAAATTATCTGTAAAAGGATGCTACTGGGTGCTTGTGTTCCTACAAAATACAACAGTCGGTGGCCTAGATTTATAAAGCACACAGTGGGAGATAAAATAAGCGAGGTTCATGGAAACCATAGGATGTTATATCCATTTCTCGCGGACGTATGAAAAATTATTTTCTCTCTCTCTCTCTCCCTTTTTTTATAGACATTTGTCTCACCACCGAAGATCAGTGCTAGTGGTGGAAATCGATCAAGTTTCGTACCGGGCGAAAGATGCCCCCGACAGCCCCGAAGAATCGTGGATAATACGCGCCGGGGGCGGGTGGGAGGGAGAAGGAGAGCGCGTAGAATTACCGTGATCGGCAGATAGGTGTTTATCTTCTCGGCGAGCTTCATCCTTTCGCCCTCTTCTCCGTATATGTGGATCACGAAGCGGTTCATCTTACTGCAGAGCCTGCATATGAACCCCGTGATCACGGCCTTGTCCGTGCTGCCCATCTCCGCGGCGTCGCTTGACACGGGCTGCTCTCGCAGGCGGCTCGCACGTTCCCGTTTCCTACCCGGCGCCGCTCGGCCGTTGTCGACAGCGCGACTCCTCGCGATCGTGGCTGCGGCGAGAGAGAGATGCGTCGGACGTATACACTTTTTTACCTGGAGATCTCCTGGAGTTTGTTTATCGCAGACTCCGCCGAACGCCAGCGCGCTCCGAGCGATGCCTCCTTCAGTACTGTATGTGACGTTTACCGGAGCCCTCATCACCGGCGGCCTGTAGCCTCGACGCTCTGTATCGCTTGATTACGAGTATCTTCCCAGCGTGTGCTCTTCTCGCATATTGAGAATTAAGAGGGGGGGGGGGGGGGAGAGAGAAAGAGAAAGAGCACTTGAAAATGATCGAAGTGTCTGTTTGTTTATTTTTAAGTAAATTTTTTCACGCATCTCTGATGGAAATATTTCCCACACAGCACAGATGGTTGCAGTTACATTGCAGAAACGTTGCAATCTTGTAGAGACATTGCAGGGATATAAAATTGCAAACTTTCGATAGCAATGTTGCAGCAAAGTTTCAAAAGTAACGAAAAAACTATATATTTTCTATTTAAAAAATGTTTCTAATTAAGAGAATTTTATAATGTTATTTTCGTTGATACTAATAATGCGCGAATTATTAAGCAGGGTTGGGAAGTAACTCGTTACTTGTAACGAAGTTACAGTTACAGTTACTTCTTTTTGGTAACTCTAACTTAACTTCGTTACTTTCTCTACATCTGTAACTGTTATAACTTAACTCATTGTCAGTTACATTTTTTCGATAACTAGTAACTAATTTAATAGTTACATTAATATAGTTTATACTTTATATATATTTTCAACCTCCACAGATCGCATTAGGCCTTGCATTTGTGCATAAACGCCTTTATCGGATCGCCGCTTTACAATTCAGATGCAGATTCGATATATATTTTTATTTCTATTGCAAGGGAGTAACTGCAAAGTAACGATTCGTTACTTTTCGAGTAACTGTAACTGTAACGCGTTACTTTTCAGAATTGGTAACTTATGTAACTGTAACTAGTTACATTGTTAGCGAAAAAACTGTAACTGTAACTAGTTACTTTTATAAAGTAACTTTCCCAACCCTGGTTATTATTATCTAAATCATTTTATTTACGTTCCCAGTATTCTTTCCAATCTTACAATCTTGATGTTTGCAAAAATTTACATTACAAATTAAAAACACTAAAACTATGTCCAAGGAGCGCCAATGCGCGTATAATGTGCTTTAAATGTATGTACATAAAAATTCGCACTTAATGCACGTATTTGTCCCGCATTAAATGCATGTATATTGTGGCAGCACATTTGAAAAACCTGTATCATTGATGTTCTATGCATAATTTTTCATGCATAAGCATGTATAAATATAGAGAATTATATAAAATTATATATCTCAAATAGGCCCAAACATGTTAAATTCACGCATTTTGAATACACAATTAATGTTGTTTTGAAGCCAATGCAATAAAACGCGCATTAAAAGCGTTATATGCGCATTGGCGCTCCGTGGGTAATAGTACTTGAGAATAAATTAAGAATAAATTAAATTTATTATATAAATCAATATAATCGTGATGTATTAACAAATATGATAAAAAATATCAGTAAAAGATTCAATAAAAACTAAACTGAAATTGATATAATAATAAAAAACTACAAACAAACATCACACTTTAGATTTATTCACTTTAATTTAACTTTTTATTATGTCTTTTAATTTTTTAACTTCCTAGAACTTTCTACATCGTTATATTATATTTCGATACGTGATCGAATCCTTTATTTATCATTCTTCATTTGAAATAGACAAATGAAAAGGCGTATATTATTTCACAAGTAAAATTGTGATTAGCAAAATACTAAACATTCCTGTAAAATTAATGTTTTTCAATTATTGCACTCTTTCTTTGGGAAGTATTGAATCGATTTTTATAATTTATTAAATCCAAGTTGATTTGACTTGAAATCACGCAAGTTTTTCATTTTATACTTATATATTTGTGAACATGTTAATTTACTTTATGAAATACAGTACCAAGTTCCTGACGAAGTAAACTGAAACGAAATATCAAAATAAAATAGAAAACTTATACAGTTCCAAGTTCCAACCCAAAAGCCAATCCCAGTATTCATACGTACATCGCGAAAGGCTCAGATATAAAAATTTTTCAATCTCTTAAAAATAAGTAAACTACAATTTGATCGTTTTAAAAAATTATAATTTTATCGCAATTTTATGAGCAATGAAAGCTATAAAAGTCTGTCCAAAATAAAATATACAATGAAAATTCAGACAGAACTTATTTAAGAGAAAAACTCTTTGACATCTCTTGCTCTCTTGAATTATCTCAGCGATAGCTTTAGCCGTCACGCTTCCATCTTTAAGTTTTGAGCGGTCCACGCGTGCTTGCTCAATACATCGCCGACAGTGAGTATTTAGTGGTAGCCTCCGTTGAAACGCGAGTATGCACGGATATATCGACGATGTCAACTTGGCACAGGTCGCCGTGTCCTGATCAGAATGTAGCTTGAGAAAAAGACTAAAAAGAATTTTGAATATATCGATCTAGCGAGGAGAAAAAAATAGTATAAAAATATAAATAGTTTAACCCTTTGCACTCCTATGTCGAGTGTGACTCGACGTCAGTTTTTATCTCAGGAGCTTCTTGGTCGAGTCTCACTCGACATTTTTTCAAGTCCAAACCAATAGATGAAATATAATTCGGAGTGCAAAGAGTTAATCTTATGATTTCACAAATATAGTTTTTCCTTTAACAACTTTAACTTAATTGATAATAAATCCAACAGAATTGTTTGCAACCAATTTTCCTACTGTTTGTTAACTCCTGTTCTTCCTAATCTAATCTTTCTTCCACAGTATCAAACAAAAAAAATTGATAATTATTTCACATTGATAAAATATATAACACAGGTACGACTCCACAAGTAAATCGCCAATACGGTTAATTGGACTCTAAGTCATCTTCTATCAATATTTTATAGTTGTCTGTGTATTAATTCTGGTATGCGTGTTTTGGAAGCGCCTTGCCGGAAATAATTCTACAAAATTCTACAAAAAAATTAAATATAACTGCCAGAATCTACGAAATTCTACATAAATAATTAAAAAGTGTTATGAAAATCAACGTGAAAATGCTAGAATTGGAACACTTTTGTTAATTTCTGTAATATTCTACAAGTAAGCAGATGTTTTAATTCTTTAAGATTTTGTTGTTTCACAAATTTTTAAAACCAGTAAAGTTTTGTACTAATTTTTACAAAATTGTACATTTTCATGAAATATTACTCGCAATAATTTCTTGATTTGAGAACATTGTAATTTGTGGTACTATTTTGTAGATATTTTTACAAAAAAAATAAATGTTTCAACGAAGATATAAAAATTTCTACAAATTTCTATTTCAAGTAAATTTTTTGTAGTTATTTATAGAAATTTTTCCGCTAGGGCGCCTATAGACTCGTACGTATGTCATACAGCCCTGACTCGCCATTGAATGCTGAGCGGAAAACAGTTCGAAAGGGATGCGAAGGAATCAGCTGTCACACATCTGTCAATAGCGACGCACCTACGAACGTGAAATTTCTTTATAGGGCGGTACTCATGGTCCTATATATTTAAGACAGTGTTGAGATGTTATAAACCAGCCACAGATCCACGTATTAGACCACCTTGAGACATATATTACTTCAGACAATCTTGAAAATATAAATAAATTATACAAACTATGAATACGGACTATAGTATTATTTTTTATTATTCTCTTTCTCCCTCTCCCCCTTCTCTCGCTCTCTCTCCTCCTCTCCCTCCCTGCAATTAGGACTGGTTCATGTATTTCACATTGAAAATCGTTGCACCATGGCAAGTAAACCGACGCTTTTTTTCCTTTTAAATTATGATGAAGAAAATAAACGATAAGGAATGCGGTTGTTATTGTTTTACTTTTTATATATGAATTTTATATACTTCTTACAATTATTGCTTTAGATACACTCAATCTTGAATAATTTTATCTATGAAACCAATAAAAACGTTGAATATGAGTTAACACATTTATTTTGAGGAATCACTGTAGCGATTCATCGAAAATGTCAGGGTTGGGAAGTAACTCGTTACTTGTAATGAATTTTACAGTTAGTTACTTTTTTTTGGTAACTCTAACTTAATTTCGTTACTTTCTCTCGATCTGTAACTGTAACTTAACTCAGTTACTTGGCGTCAAATGGTTGCTATTTTTCTTAAAAGCTTTGTTAGTTTATTCAATGAAGCCCGCTCCGATAATCTTGACCCTTCTGAGTGACCTTCAAAAGATTTTAGCCGTCGCTCGTGGTTGATTAAAAAGTTATTAACAAAAAAGTTTAGTAAATAGAGCATAATTTTACGATATCCTATAGCACTGAGGAACCAATAAAATTTATAAATTTTGAGAACAATAAATTTCAAAATAACCCACACAGCACAGAAAGATTGCAGGAAGATTGCAGAAATGTTACATTGCAAGATTGCAATATTGCAGCAACGTTGCGCAACGTTGAAATGTCCGCCCTCAGAGAGATTGCAGTGCAACATAGCTCCTCTTTCGAATGCCGTTGTCAAAATTAACTTGTATATCGTATAAAAAAGTTATGACCTATTTTTCGGAAAAAACGACGAAATTTCCACAGTTTTTTCATGAAAATTCCATATTTTGGACCAGAAAGTGTATTAATGATATTAGGCTTGTTTTCTGTTGCTGCACTGGTGAACTAGTGCAATAAGTTAGAGTAGGACAAGTATATTTTTCTCATTCTAGCTTACTGCACTAGTTCACCAGTGCAGCAATAGAAAACAAGCCTATTGTATCTCACAGTATCACAATAATGGACTTGACATAGAAAATTATATAATTCATTTTGAGACATGTATATCTGGGAATTTTTCAATAACTCTATTTCCATCGGGAAACTGACGATCCGTTTATAATCTTTCAATTTTCTATTATAAGAAAATGGCTTGTAATTTGGATTAGGGTAGGGGAAATCCGTGTATTTTGGACTACTGTGTAACTCGGATCGGTTGTAACTTCGATATGAGCGAAGTAGATAGCACCATTTCTTGAGTGTCTTCATGAGCGTCTTTTGTCTAGAGCTTGTTGCCACAAGTTTTCGTTACTCGAGCGAGAACGGTCGAGTCAGGAGAGCGAAAAGAAGTTTTTGTGTCTCTTCGATGTAATTTGTGTGTTAGTTTAAAACGTGATTATTATTGCTTTATAGAGCATATATCGCAAAACCATTTTACGTGTGTTTTCACTAAACCTCAAGGTAAGATATATCAATATTGTATTGTAAATACTTTTTGATGCTTTAGCACTGCTAATTAATTCATTGTAGACACTTTTGTGTTATTCAGTCCACATAAAAAATAAAAGAATCAAAAATTGTAAATCAAAATAAAAAAACACCTAAACGAAAGAAAAAGAGAGAAATTGGAAAAACAAAAGCCAAGATCAATAATAAGCAAGACATTTCGAAAGAAAATGAAACTTGTTGTCTCATACGTGGAGAATCTTATCAGGATGACTGGATTCAATGCGAAAAATGTAAAGGATGGTCCTATGAAAATTGCGCTGAACTAACGATACATATTATTTTTTGTGACCTCTGTTTGTAATATTTTTTAGAAATATTTTTTAATCTTTCTTAAATTTTATTTTCTATAATATTACGCTGCCTTAATTTTTAATATTATTTTTTAATCTAATATTTTTATTTTTTAACCTAATATTCATACATAAGTTAATAGAATTTAATTACACAATATATATTATTAATACTAAGGCAATGGAAAAATTATTTTTTACTTCGGTCCAAGCTTCACAATTACTGGGTCCACATTACATGCCTACGGTCCGCGTTACACGGACATTGCTTCACTTTTTAAGAATTATTTTATGAAAAAGTGTGCATGTATAATATTAATAAAATTCAACACTGACATTCGATGCCTCTTATTTAGTACTTTCCTTAAAAAAAAAGTGCCATTCCTTAATATTCATCCTGACGAGATTTATTCAAGTTTATTCTTAGGCGATCCAAAATACATGGATTTCCCCTACTGTGCTGATTTGTGGCGAAAAAAAGTGACCGAAGATTGACAAAGCACCCGAGATACCTATATATGAACACGAGCGTGTGACTCCGGAGCACAGTGGGTCGAACAATACAGAAAGATAGAGGGGAGCGGAGAAAGAGAGGACAGCAATCTCGTTTCGGCCCGTTCTCTTGACGCGCGTTTATGTTGCGTCGCACACGTAACAGATCGCGCGCGCGCGCGCGCTCGCGCTTCCGGGAAAGTGCAAATGGATTTTTAAATCGCGACGCGCACCGCGATTCAACATGGTGGCGATCAGCTGTCTCCTGTCACAATGACGGTCGCGGCGACGAGCGAGAAAATTAATTAGCCCGATCGGCGCGGCGTGTACGTGTCTCGGTTGATCGTCACTCCGAGTCGGGGCCGCGCGACGGCAACGTGACGCGCGTCGTTGTCCCAGTCCGTTTCCTCGAGGTTGCTCTACGCGAGACGACGACGCGAGGCGAAGCGAAGCGAGGCGTGGCGAGGTGAGGTGAGGCGAGGAGAGACGACCGAGGCGAGGCGAGGCGAGACGGGGCGAGGCGAGGCGAGGCGAGGCGAGGCGAGGCGACGCGACGCGACGCGACGCGCTTCGCTTGAAGTGAGCGGCGAGTATACGCACAAAAGCAATATGGTGACCGTCAGAGGATAGTCGTGAGCGCACACGGGGGATGTTCAATAATATTTATCGTCGTCGGCAACGTGCGTCGGTGAGCGCAAGTGATGAACTTGACGTGACCGGGAGCCTCTTGCTAGGCTAAAGGAATCCGGCCACCATGTGCGATGTGTGCGTCGATTTTCACGATCTTCTGCTCTCCTGTAAGTGGATAATATTGCACCCACACAGTAGCGTTCCCCCCCTCGATTCTTAACCTATCCGAGCGGGTTGGCGAGCGAGCGGATCGCGAGCGTTGACGGGTTTCTCCTCCTCGTCGAGCCTCCGCGGCGGTAAAACTGCCCTCCCGCGACCTCGTTCCCCGAGACCCTTCGCCCCCGCGAGAGACGCGTCTGAGCGGGGGTGGTGGCGTGTTCTATAACCTTAATCGTCGGCGAGGCTGCTCTCGCCCGAGAACCCGAGAACGGGGTCGTCTCCGCGTCCCGCGTCGTCCTCCTTCCGGAAACAAATGATTCCCCGTTTACGATCCTCGATAAAGTAACGTCTCTCGTTTTCGGTCGCGGCGCGAGTCCTCGGATGAGAGCGACACCACGTTTTTTTTCGTCCACGCGGTTTCCAACTTTCTCGACGTCGTTGGGAAATTTTCAATTGGCGTCGTCGAAGATCCGGAGATTTTTCCTTCAATCGATTCCTCTAACCGAAACGTTCGTGATTCTTTTTCTTGAAAATTTCTACCACGCGAGATTGTTGAAGAGGAAAACGTGTTCTCTCTCCATAAACAGCGTCTCATTTCGACTCGCCTTCTAACAAGTGATTTTTCTAGACGATGAGCGCTCGTCGAAGGAACAAGATGCGTTGGCGACGTTGTGCGCAGCAGACGTCGACACGACAATGCATTATGTCAACCAGTGGATGCAAAGGTACGTTAATCGGTTTGCTCCAACTTGAGTATTCTCCGTGTCTTCGTTTGTTAACCCTTTTGCAGTGATCAAACTAAGGTAGTGTGGTCTACAGTACGTGGAGTAAACCTGATCTATTTAATTTTGTAGCCGATAAGTAAAAAATTATGCAAATTGATGAACTGTACACTATGTATATTGTACAGTCGCACTTTGTTGATGAAATTTTCAAGTGTTTTGATTCGCTTGTATAAAATGGAATGTTTCTAGACGCAAGGAGTACATTGTAGATCAGCCTTAGGAATAAGGAGTAACAGTAGGCATGGGAGAACCGTCTTTACCTTTTGGTGTAGAGGCTTGTGTCCACGATGCTGGAACTTGGTTCAAGTTCTATTTTCGAGAAATGTGTAGCCAATCGACTTGCAGCTTCTATGGAATAGCTGCAAGTTGATTGGCTACACATTTCTCAAAACTAGAAGTTGGACCGAGTTCTAGCATTGTAGGTACAGGTCTTAAGCCTTGTGTCCACGATTCAAGAACTGTGTCAAAGTTCTAGTTTTGAAAAATCAGCTTTTCCGTAAGAGATGCAAGTTGATTAGCTACACATTTCTCGAAACTAGAACTTGGGCCAAGTCCTAGCGTCGTGGACACAGGCCTTTAAGGAAACTGAAACACAGGCATAATTAAAAAAATATTTGTAGCACCGGCCACGTGACCGCGCTTTGATTCGTCGAGAGTAAGAGCCTGCAGTAGGAGTGAAAAGTAAAATTGATGAATTTTCTCACACGCCAGGCTTGCTCCAGCCTTAAAACATTCCATAGTCTCGACCAGACTCTCGCTTGTACATAGAAATGCAATTAATAACGCACAATTGTGTCACATTTGTCCCAAGTATTATAAATAAGATCGAGAAAGTTGCCGCAACAGGTTGTTGAAACAAGAGTTGCGCTTGCGGTGTAGTCATTGGTTTCTCACGGCACAAGGGTTGCGGTTTACAATGATCTTTTTACGTATTGTTATATGGTAAGCATTTAATCGTAGGTTAATCGTTTCTCTTTTCTTCCCTTTTAGACAATGTATGTGCTGTTATCGTGAAATTAAAAATTTCGACCGATTTATAAGGCTAACTCAGAGCATCGTGCTCTGCACGTTGCAACAGTTGCAAGCCATACAGCAAAATGAACAGCAGGGAGATGCCGCTAAGGAGACGCTTAAGGATGGGAAGGACGAGGAGGAGAGAAGTAACAAGCGAAAATCCGGCGATAGCGCAGAGCACGCACAAGTGGGAGCTCAGGCGAAACAGATCTGGTCTCAGCACGATAAAGAGAAATTGTTTCTCCTTCTTTCTAAAATTTTTTTACTCAACTTTCCCCTTTACATCGCTATGAAGCACGGCGGTGTCATCAACCCGTTGGCTCCCGTGAAGGTAAAATTTTTCATTACGTCGCCCGTGTTCTAGACCTAGTCGCATTTGATTTACATTTTGCTCTCCTCGCAGGACGAAGGTGGTTACTGCGAGCCGCACGACCCCGAGGTACCGGCGCCTCTGATTCGCGCGGTATCTATATTTTGCCATCAAGGAGGCTTTAATTTGGTGTCTGCTTGCTTCGATATGGAAAACACACTGCCCGTTACCCTCGCGCATTCTATGGTCGCGGTTATTTGTAATCTGAAGCTTTGGTTAAACTATGCCAGTGTCATTCAGCTGTTCATACCGTTACGCAGTCGTGTCATGAAGTACATGTGTCGCTTAGAGGATAAGGAATTGCGTACTCCAGCCGTTAGGACCATGGCAGGTGCGTTCTCGAAGCTAGAAAATATATGAAAGTACGCCGTGATGTCGATCTCGCGTTTGCGAATATGTAAACTGATTCTTTGTTTAAATGCATTCATGGTGTTTCTATTCTTTTCTTTTGTGTGTGCTTAGATTTTATGTGGAGCGCAGTGAAGGATCCGATAGACTCTGTATTACCGAGCTTTGATCGTGACGGGCTCGACTTGGCATTTAAATATTTTACCAGTACAACTCTAACTATGAGGCTGGCCGGCGTAGCTCAAATAAACGCTCACATCACCGCGTCTAATGAACTCTGCAACAGCGAAACCGTCGCAGAGGTCGAACAAGTGGGGCACGCGCTTGCCGCTTGGCTGACCGAGAACAACATCATAGCTCATATATTCGGACCAAACTTACACGTGGAGGTTATCAAGCAGAGTCACATTATATTAAGTTTCTTGGCTATGGAAGGTAGAATTACACCTTCGGACATGGACACTATGTGGCAAGCGGCGCAGTTGAAGCACTGCGGTCGTCCGGTTTACGATCTACTGGCGCCATTGGTTAAACATCTGGCTCCTACTCCTGTGCTTCACTTGTATTCTTTGCTAGGCAAATTGGAACCTAAGGACCACACGGAGCAGAGCTTGTTCTTAGCGTCGGCTTTGATCAAGTTTATTTGGACGTCTGGTCGTTCAGCTTATCCAAGGGGTCTGGTAATGAAGAACAGAGATATTTTAAGGAATACCGGAAACGGAATCGGTGGAAGTAGCAGCAGCGATCCAAGTGGCATGGATGGTAGCAGTCCAGAGGACGACGAAGAGGAGCCTAGTCCAACGCTGTCCGATGGACCGTCACCTCGAAAGCAACTTAGAGGCTATTGTAGCGATGGTGAAGGTATATAAAGCTTATAAAAAAAAAACTTGTTAGATAAAATCTTTGTCTCTTTATTTATATTTTGTTTGCACGCTTGTTATAGGATATTATAAAGGAAAGAATCTGACAACCACCGCCATCGAGTCGAGTCTCAATGATATCGAGGGCCTGAATTCCGACAAGTTTGAATGCAACAGAGAGTTGACCAAGGATTCTTCGACGAATGTTATTAGAGATGAGGTAAAGAGCAAGCAGAGCGGATCTGACGCTGAGGCGGATACGGAGAAGTCTAATACGGAGGAGATGTTTATACACGAGAAGAAGAAACGAAAGATTCTGCGCAAGCGAAAGAGACCACAGAAGCGCTCTTTGAGTACCGTTGAGAAAACCTTGGAAGATATCGTTGGACAAGATGGTAACGTGAAATCGAAAGATTTGCTTACAGATGGGAAAAACCGAACGGAAGATATGTTGAATAGCAGTCTGGATGCTTTGGCTTCCTTGGACGAGCCGAAGAGCGTTGACGCGTTGGATCGTGTTAAGCAGCAGGCGATGGCTTTGGATCCGAACGAGCAACAAGTCCCAACCACGGCAGCTCTATTGAGACGCAACAAAAATAAATATATGTCTATAGTAGGATATAACGTGGATCGAACAGCCGATTCGGCGGATAGTTCGCACGATGAGGACGACAGTGATGTAGCGGGTGTGCTTGCTGCCGCGGATGGTCCTGGCGCGGTAATATCTGAACTTGCTGGCTTGGTGCACGCGTCTGGTCCTACATTTTTGCCTTCGGGATTAGACGAGATGCTTTCCGACGAAGAGGGCTCGTACAGCAGCAGAATATCGAACAAGAGTGAAAAGAATATGGCCGATTTTGATGGCGAGGAGAGCGGCTGCGAAGAGGAGTTAGCTCAATTAGCCGCGCGTCATCTAACTGCTATTCAAATGCAGGCTTATCACCCTCATCACTCGCACTCGGCCATGACGATAAGAAGATCGGTTTGTCAGCAGTCGCAGGTGCGAACCGCTCGGCAAACTGCCACGAGATTAAGCTCCCAGTTCAATTTGGACACAGTTTGCAAGCCGGGTAACACACTGCTTTGGGATCTTCTTCAAGACGACAAGATAGGTCAGTTGGGTGAGGGCCTGGCATTAGAAGCGGAGAAGGCGTTGTGCAATCTTCTGTGTTTCAACGTCGATCGTTTGATCCCGATGAAGTTTATAGAAGGATGCTTGGAAAATTTGGCGATCAATCGTTCTGTGGTTGTATCCCTGAGATTATTGCCGAAATTGCTCGCGAGCTTCCAACAATTTGGCGCGATGGACGCGCACACGATTACGACCTGGGCAGACCGTGAGCGCGGCATGATGAAACACTTCTTTAACAATCTCAAGACTTATACCAGTACAGGACCGAAGAGCAATTTATATTCGCATCAAACCGAGATACAAGTTAGATTACAATTTCTATCGTCGATCTTCTCGCCGCTAGGTTCGCCCGACTGCTTTCGCTTGAATCTAGAACAAGTGGATATATTGTGGCAATGCCTGTCGCAGGATTCGGTCTGCGCGGATGAGCTTTTCAGTTGGTTGCTCAGCCAAGCAAAGTCCACGGAGCAGCATGCATTAGGAATGGATACGCTGAAACATCTGTGTATGCGCAAGTTACCAAGTCTACCACCGGAAACTATCAGTATGACGGGTCTGAATCTGTTTCAGCAATTGTGCAACTTGGCGCGTCTCGCCGCAGCGCACATGGACAGACCGCTCAGGGATATTGATTCAGTAGGCATGGACTTCCTGTGGCGGATCGCCCTGAAAGCGAAGAGCACGGACGTCAGTATGGCAGCTATACAATATCTGAACGGCTATTACATGTCACGACAGCTGACGCAGGAGGCCGAATTTGTGTCGCAGTGTATGACGCATCTTGCCGCGGCCAGTGCTGATCTTGAGACTAACGAGGAGGCCAGTCTGCGTTGTATACAGCGTGCTTTGCTCCTGCTGAGGACCCATCTGGAGGCTTTTCGGAAGCGCTATGCTTATCACTTGCGTCGTTGGGTACTGGAGGGCAGAAGTGCCGCGAGTCACGTAGCGATGAACACATCTGAGAAAGGCCAACAATTAAGGATCTTCGTGCAACCCGCTGGTATACCGGAGAAGACTAGTTTCACTCTTCTCAACACTGACTATGTGGCGGATTTGCGGGCCGAGGTCGCTAAATGGTGGGACGACACGCAGGACGCTCAAGAAAAGTCGGCTGTTTCCGCAAACGTCGCTCAAAATGGTGGTTCGGTTTTAGGATCGTTGCTCACCGACGGCCCCATCAGGATGATCACCCAAGGTCAGGAATTGACCATCGAGTATGACGAGAAAACCTTGCAGGAGATGGGTTTTAAGGATGGACAATTAGTGTTTATCTCACCTGGTGCCAGCAGAGGCAACGGTGGCCGTTGCAGCAAACGAGACATGGACTCGCCATCGTTGTTGCCGCCGCCGCCTAGAGAGTCCCTGCCTACGTTGTTGCTGCTTCGACCGCAGTATTTTGAACAGCTGTTTACGCTCATGAGAACGCTCAGCGCTATGAGAACGACCGTAAAGGGTGGCCAAGAAATACCGCATACGAAGGCGCAGGTGCTCTCGAGGAGAGTTTGGGATACGCTCACCTTGTTACCCACAAGTCCAACCTTGTTGCGAGGTTTCCAGAAACTCGGCGAGACCTCTCTCCAGGAATTGCTCGATCCGGCGAGTCCGCAGAAATTGATGTATTCACTTTACATAGTCGAGTCTCTGAGTCGGCGAGGTGCGACGAATCAACCGTCGCCAAGTAATTCCACCGTGTCGACGACGCACCACGAAGGCGGTGGCGATGCCGACGATAATCACGACGATAAGGAAAAAGATGTCGCTTGGTCCACCCTGTTTGTGCAGTACGGTGGACTCCGACATCTCTTTGACATCTTTATGTCGGGTTGCTTGGAACAGGGCGACGGTAGCGAGTGGCAGCAGGATTGCCTTGCTAGTTTGCTGAAGCAACTTTGTCACCTCGGTGTCGTCAAAGAGGAGAAGAAACGTAACAAGGCGGACAAGCCGTTGCTGGTGCCCAGACTCAGCGAGGCGATGCTGAGAATGATGAACGTTGACACAGTGATGCCACGGATAACGAGCATTCTGAATGACGCTTCGTTACCGCTCGATCCAAATCACTACAAAACGGGACTCTTTGGCCGGTCTCAGGTGATACATTACGCCATGGCGCTGTTAGTCTGTTGGGTACACAGCAACCCGGCAGTCAGGCAATATCTGTTCTTGTCGTCCGAGCCGTTTGGAAAAACGTGGCTGCGCAGTCTGATATTGGAGGACCCTGAACCGGCGGTGAGACGTGAGGTGTGCACGGCCCTGTACAGACTATGCTTAGGCAGTACTGGCGCGGAAGACGACAGTCCGGATCAGATGCCAGGACTGATCGTGCCCATGTTAAACACTTTACTGGAACATCTTGTGATCGCCGAGGCTATGCAACCTTCTCATCGCAAGCCAGATCTACCGCTGCACCTGCATACAGTTTTGGACGAGGGAAAGGAGCCCTACGGGCCAGCCTGCAAGGACTACTTTTGGCTGGTATGTCGTCTAGTGGATTCTCTGCCGGACGAGACGATTCGGGAAAGTTCGGCAGATGATACTTCGGGTACAACGGTTGATCTTGAGGCATTGGCTATTCGAGTAATCGATTCTGTGCTTAATAGAGACCATTTGGAGACGCGACACAACACGGTGGAGGATGACGCTCTGGTCGGGTTGATCAATCTCACGTGTAACATAATGACGCACAATCCACCGTGCAAGCAGGGCAAGATTGGTCAAAACTTGTTAGATCAGGTATTTGACTTTCTGTTTGCTCTGCCCAGTCCGCGAAGCAAGCACGTACCCAAATGTAAAAGTCAGGCGTCCAGATCGGCGGCTTTCGATCTCTTGGTCGAGCTGGTGAAATCCGCACCCGACAATTACAGGATGCTGCACGAGAAGTTGCTCGCCCAGCACCGTCCTGGACCGCACTTCCCGTATCCGTGGGACTACTGGCCCCACGAAGACGGACGTTCGGATTGCGGCTACGTTGGTCTGACGAATTTAGGCGCGACATGTTACATGGCTAGTTGTATGCAGCATTTGTACATGATGCCGCAGGCGCGCGTTTCTATACTGGGCGCCGATTGCAGTCGCGCGAACAAGCACCAGTCGACCTTGCAGGAGCTGCAGAGAATGTTCGCTTATTTGCTGGAGTCTGAGAGAAAAGCGTACAATCCGAGGAGCTTTTGCCGTGTATACACGATGAACCATGAGCCGCTCAACACCGGCGAGCAGAAAGATATGGCCGAATTTTTCATCGATCTCGTCTCCAAGCTGGAGGAAATGACATCCGACCTGAAGACCCTGGTGAAAACGCTGTTCTGCGGCGTGATATCCAACAATGTCGTTTCGCTCGATTGCGAGCACGTCAGCAGAACCTTGGAGGAGTTCTATACCGTTCGATGTCAGGTGGCCGACATGCGGAATCTGTATGAGAGTTTGGACGAGGTCACTGTCAAGGATACGTTGGAGGGTGACAACATGTATACGTGCTCGCAGTGCGGCAAGAAGGCGCGCGCCGAGAAGCGGGCCTGCTTCAAGAAGCTGCCGCACATATTGTGTTTCAACACGATGCGCTATACCTTCAACATGGGCACCATGCTGAAGGAGAAAGTCAACACGCATTTCAGCTTTCCGCTTAGACTAGACATGTCCGGTTACGTTGAGAAGAAGCTCATGCCGCAGCACTATCAGGACGAGAAGAAAGCAGCGTCTGAGAAGAGAAAATCGGAGAACGATGGACATACCAGGTTGCCGGTGGACGATGCGGAGGAAGAGGAGCATTATCAGTACGATTTGATCGGCGTAACTGTTCACACAGGGACGGCAGACGGCGGGCATTACTATAGTTTCATCCGGGATCGCACCTCTCCTAACAAGGACAAATGGTTCCTGTTCAATGACGCTGAGGTTAAACCGTTCGACCCGAATCAAATCGCGGCTGAGTGTTTTGGCGGCGAGATGACCAGCAAGACATATGACTCGGTGACGGACAAGTTTATGGATTTTAGTTTTGAAAAGACCAACTCGGCATACATGTTGTTTTACGAATGGTGCGCCGACCCTGGTGAGCAAGTAAAGGAGGAAGAGGCGACTGTCTCAAGTCCAGCCACCGACAGTGCTGACGGTAATACCGGACGATCCTCGTCGTTCTCGCTGGCGCGAGCGAACATGAACAAGTTGCCGCCATTGGAACTCAACAAGGAGCTCGAGGACTGGATTTGGCAGGACAATATGCACTTTCTACAAGACAAGAATATATTCGAGCACACGTATTTTGGATTTATGTGGCAGGTATGTGGCTACATACCTCAGACATTACTCTCTGTGCAGCCAGATATCACGGAGATGTCCGCGGAATTGTCCACGTCCTTCTTCATGGAGACGTTCATACACGCCAAGGAGAAGCCGACGATGGTGCAATGGGTGGAATTGTTAACGAAACAGTTTAACGGCTCGGCCGGTGCGTGCGCGAGATTCCTCGAACGGATGGCCAGCGACTCGTGGTGGCCTATTCAGATTCTAGTCAAGTGCCCTAATCAGATGGTCCGGCAGATGTTTCAACGGCTATGCATTCATGTGATCCAAAGGTTGCGCGCTACACAAGCACCCCTGTACCTTCTCTGCGACGAGGAGAACGACGCCAACACCGTCGGCACCCGATCCTGCGTCACACGTTTCGTTAGGATGTTGCTGTCGCTCATGGAACACGCCAAGCAACACCTTAAGCACCTTACCGAATACTTTAGCTTCTTGTACGAGTTTAGCAAGATGGGCGACGACGAGGCTGTTTTCCTGATTAGAGTCCAGGCCATCTCCACGATGGTAAACTTTTATCTCGGGCATAAGACGCACGAGTTTGTCGATGCGGTCAGCGAAGAGGAGGAAGAGGAAGAGATTGTGACTGTGCCTTCGGAAAAGCTACGGCCCGCCTCGTTGGACAAGATGATCACGCTGATAGCGTATCTGGTCGAGCGTAGTAGAGGGCAAGATCACAGACTGGCGTTGTCGCCGTCGGACCTAAGCGCCGTAGCCGGCGGCAAGGGCTTCCCTTTTCTGTACCAGCAGACGCGAGATGTCATTAATCTCACTCAGACAAGAAACTTGATTCAATCGTTGTGCCGTTGGAACGACAGATTGGCGATACACATCGTCACGATGATATTTCAGGCCATAATGAAGCACACCGACGTGTGTCAGCCGTTCTTCAAGTTGTTAACGCTGTTGACAGAAAGTTCGGGGCTGAGCGGATTGCCCTGCATGACACAATTGATTCTCGGTAGGGTCTGGGAAGCAGCGAGAGTCGCTCCGCACGGTGCGCTCGAGTGGCTAGCTCTCGCAGTCACGAGAAGCAAACTGGCGCATGCCTGGGTGCTGCAAGAGTTGAACACGTGGCTGCAACATTACCTTCTCGAGCATTCGAATCAAAGAGTACGCTCGGCCGCCGCCTTCCTCTTGGTATCGTTAGTCCCATCCACACATTTCAGACAGGGCTACCGTAGCGCTCATCGTCTCGGTCTTGGCTGCAACGCATCCAGAGAGCTTCAACTGTCGCCCGAGGCTACTTTAATACTGCATCAGATATATACGGCACTCTTGAGACTGCTCCAACCTGCGCGACATTACATCGACATACAGACTCACGGTACAATGAAGCTCACTGCCTACTTTGCATTGCTCACATATTGCGTAGTCTCTAAAACCGAAAAATTAATGGTAAGTAAATACATACACATACGCGCGCGCGCGTATATAAAATATACGTTTTCTGTAGCCTTGTAACTTCGGCAAGAGAGAGAAATATTATGCGTGTTTTGCAGTTTGGCCAATATCTTAACGATCTATGGACGCTTTTCCATCCGAAACTTTCGGAACCAAGCATTCCGGTGCATCATAATAAGCAAGCGGTTCTTTTGTTCTGGTATCATGTCTGCTCCGATTGTCCAGAGAACATCGCTATGATACTTCACAATCCGCACATAACTAAAAATATAGCATTTAATTACATACTGTAAGTGTATATTCTTGTCTCTCTTTCATGCTCTTTGTATTTCTTTTGCACGTCACTCAACAATTTTGCATCAATTAAAAAAGTTACATTATTCTCAGTAAAATAATATGTAATAGTGATACGAGACATTATGACCTATAATTCAGAACGCGCTTACAACAATGCAATGTTAACGTGCTGACAAGTTGAAATATTAGCGTTTTTATTAATTCAAGATTAATAAGAAATACACATGCTAGTCGCATAGATGTGTACAGACTAATAAGTCGTATTCTTATTAATCTTGGATTAATATAAACGCTAATATCTTGCCGTGTCAGCGCACTAACATCGTTGTAAGCGCGTTCTGAATATGGATTTATATATATATATATTATTCTATATTACCCACATAGCACAGAAAGATTGCAGGAAGATTGCAGAAATGTTACATTGCAAGATTGCAATATTGCAGCAACGTTGCGCAACATTACTGCAACGTTTCTGGAGGATTGCAGCAACGTTGAAATGTCCGCCCTCAGAGAGATTGCAGTGCAACATTATAGCAATGTTGCAGTGCAATATTTTTGGAATAATTTGTTGTTGTACATAAGCAGAGAATTTACCAATTACATATGCATCCGGGCCTTTTTCAATACACAGCAAGCTATTGCGAAGCAACCTAAGGAGATTATATCGCTTCGCAATAGATGGAGATTGCGAGCAACACCGCACTGATCAAGTACTTAATAATTCGCGCATTATTGGTATCAACGAAAATAACATTATAAAATTCTCGTAATTAGAAAAATTTTTTAAATAGAAAATATAATATTTTTATTATTTTTGAAACATTGCTGCAATATTGCTATCGAAAGTTTGCAATTTTATATCCCTGCAATGTCTCTGCAAGATTGCACTGCAATCTGCAAGATTGCAACGTTTCTGCAATGTAACTGCAACCATCTGTACTGTATGGGTAGTCTATATAATGTCGAGATATTCCTCTTAGACTTAGGAAATGTTGAGGGAAAATATTAGGTTTACTTTGATAAATATTAATAAAAATTGAATATTTAGTAAACAGTTATTTAAAGAAAATCCTGAGATTAAAAAGGATCAATGAATTAATCTAGCAATAATAGCATGTAGGTTCATGTTCAGAACGCGCTTACAACAATGTTAATGCGCTGATACGTCAAGATATTAGCATTTTTATTATCTCTAAAGATTGTAATTCAGTGCAGAGAATTGATATTGTCTAAGATAAAAATACTTGTCGTTTCTAACGTACATTTATTGTTTTAGAGCTGACCATGAAGACCAGGATGTCGTGTTGTTTAACAGAGTTATGCTACCCGCGTATTACGGTCTCTTGAGGCTGTGTTGTCAGCAATCGCGTACTTTTACGAGACAATTAGCCGCGCATCAGAATATTCAGTGGGCTTTTAAAAACATCACTCCTCATCCTACTCAGTATTCGACTGTAAGCTTTTCGCAAATTTAAGTGTTGCATCAAAGAGAGATATTATTTATGTATAAATTTCTGATTCAGTAAGATAAAGTTTTAGTTTTAAATATGATTTTATTTCTTTTTCTCACAGGCAGTGGATGAATTATTTAAGTTGATGCAATTGTTAGTCGCGAGGCATTCTGATCAAACGGAACAGGAAGAGGCAGAGATCGCGTCGTTTCGAAGAGGCACACTATCCTCTTATTTACAAGGACTTGACGGTCGTTCGTGTTGGGCAACTCTTATTTCTGCTTTTCGGTACGCTAAAATGACTGTTTTAATTATGGAGAACATTGAAGGACAAGAATAATGTATTTAAATAGATTGTAAACAAATTTTAAACGAAACATTGATTTAGCAGTACATAAAAATGAAAAAAAACAGGTGTAACGGTCATCTGCTCTTTTTGTCTTCAGAATTCTCATCGAGTCGGACGACGATCGTTTGTACGTAGTCTACAACGGTGGCTTAAGCATGGCTCTCGAAGCGTTTCATATGTTACATATCATGTATCACGAAGCGACGGCGTGTCACGTTGCCGGCGATCTTGCCGAGCTAATCGCCATTATTGTCGAGCTCGTGCGATGCGTTCGTACCGCGAGGGACGGGCCAGATGCTAGAAACATTCTGGCCAATTGCAAGGAATGGCCCGATGCTCTGCGTAAACTAGCAACGTTACTCAACACGTACAATCCACCGGACATGAGAAATTTGGCTATAGACCTTTTGAAGGAGCTTGTCATGCTCGTTCCTGCCGAAGCAATATTGATCCTAGCGCCATTGCTCTCACACTGCCATGCAGCTCTTCAGGAGTCCCATGCCGCTGTCCCGCCTGGGCCATATCTCCCGAGAAGATCCACTCCGCCCGGAAAGATGCCTACGAGACCCGCCAGACCAATGGTCCAGATGGCGGTGCCTCACTCTCAGTTGGAAGCATCGAAGGGAGTAGACCCGGAGTACGACAGCGCTCTACTTGAATTTTACTTACCTTACCACGAGCTGATAGACGTAATGTGCAGATTAGCAATTAATAATGATTGTATGACAGACTCGTTAGTGAATTTGAGCGCGATGCTTGGATTTGAAGGTAAGTACGATACGAGGCAATATCGTAATCACGATCGGGATTGTTGTCCCTTCGACTCCCCTGACTTATCTTATATGTTTGCAGGTGTACCTTTGCACTTGGCTCTGTTTCCCAGGCTATGGTTGGACGTGCACGCTGCTACGCACATAGACAGAAAGCACATCGCGTCTCTCCTTTGTTCTTCCTACACGGTGGATTACGTGGACGCTGTGCTGCTGGACGAGAGGTCCTCGTTAGGAGTACCGGCGATCCACGCTTTCCTCAAAACCTTCTTTCCGAAGCTGGCCAACCACGTGTTGACGGAGCAAACGTGTTTGCTCATCGACAATCTGGTCAGCTCGCTGACGACGATGGTGGAGGCAGTAGACGTTGAGGCGTCGGCGCATAGACTGACCGGTGACTTGCGCGCCTTGGCTCTTGTTTATAGCAGTAGCACGAGATTGAAACCGCCCTCTAGCCTGCTGCCGGGTCTAGAGACCCTGTTATCGCGAACTCGGACTATTACGGTGAAAGAGAGCCACTCGTCGCCGGAGATGGAAACACCCTCGAAAAGGCGAAAGTTGTGCAGCGACAGCGAGCCGGCTGACGGCGATCTGTGCGCGTCGATCAAGGACATCGATACGGAGAACAACATCTCCGAGACGGAGATGGACAAGGCGGACGTGGCAAATGATACAATGTCTTCCGATTCCGGGGACGGTAAGGTCGCCGCCACTGCCAGGCACAAGCCGGGCAACGTTCAGGCGGAGGCTATCGCCACCAGCATTAGCGACGCTGTGTCGCCACCGAGCTTGGTCGCCACCGCCAACAGTTGTACAAATCAGTTGCGTTGCTCGCTGACCAACGTCTCGTGGCTCGAGATGCTGGAGAAGACCATTGTCGACCTTCAGACGATCGTGCAAGTGCAAAGCAAGAATAATTAATCGCGCGTGATTGGTGAAACGCAGGCGGAGTGCTCTCTAAAACAGCGTAACGGAATTAACGACCAATTCTACGAACTTGTAACTGCATGTGATCCTTTACGCCGACAGAATTTAACGGTGTGTCTTTTGCGCTCCTTCGAAATCGGATATAACTTAGTACATATTGTATCGTATGTATGTATGTCGAAGGCCGCGATTTACTTTCCAAATATAGGAGAATAAGATATTTTCGTTACTCAACACAAGTTACATTCGAATACAAAGTCGGGGAGTCGCCGTATCGCCGTCGCGTATCTGGACTGAATAATTTCCTCATCTAAACGTTCGTTAGTGCTGTGAGATAGAATTACTCGTCTCTCCTGGCAGAAACACGACGCGCGCGCACTTTACGTATAACAACATTGTCAACCATCCAGTATTCGGGAAGCGCGATTATGTGGCTTTATTAAATCCTAAGAGTACCCTTAAATACGCTGTGTATCTCTCAGAAAATTTTGTTGGCACTGCTCATCATTTCGACGATTTCGCGCTATACTTGTGTACGAAAGGAATCACAGGGTTTTAAGAAATTATTAAAGTAAAGCAAATGAAAGAGTACGTTCAATGGCTGCTTGAAATTTCCTCACGTGCTCGTTGCCGGTACACTCGCTCTTTTGTTCATTTTTTAATATCTAACGATGAGCTAGGCGTATGTATATATTGCGATAAATCAATATTTCATGAAATATCAGTTTTAGACAGGAATGTTTCCTCTCGACAATGGCGGTATATCAAAATTGATACTTTAAACATTATTTTCTACAACTGATATTTTCCAAAATATTAAGCTGTCGTACTTTACGCGTCTTGTTCGATATCTTTCTGTTATTCCTTATTAATAACGTAGCAGTTTCAAAGAAAATCACTTCATTAAGTCCGCAATTTGTCAATCCTCCAAGCTGTTTTGTTTCTGATTTAAGTGGAAGTGTATCCGTTTATATGCGCAATCGATTGTACATGTTAGGAAAGAGAAGTAAACGAGAGAGTTTATGAACGCATACGCGAATGATTAGTTTAAACCATACCAGAGAAATTTACAATTCGCACGGAGAACGTTAGAAATTTAAGTTCTTAGCGAATTGATAAAATAGGATTATGACAGAGTTTGCTAGTGTATTTATTTATTTCTGACATGCTGATCGACGGTGCCGATCTCGGTAGTATGTACGTGGTGATACCGTGTCGTCTTCTCTTCGATCGCTGTTCGCGCTGCCTATTACTTACATTAACGATAAGCTAAATCGCGAACGCAGTCGATTGTTGTCGCGACCGATTGCAACTTTTTCTACAGTCACTGGCCGGATTTCTCGAAATCAAAGACATCTCACATCACGAATGAACAAATCAATCGTGAAACGCTTCCAATAAGTGCTAAAAATTCAAGCTAACATATCTATTTCCAATTGCAAAATACACCGCGGTCATTTTCAGCACGTAGCGTTTTCACAATCGTCGAGCTTGCCGATTAAAATGGCACTAAGTTGGCACCTTGTCCAATCCTGATTTTTCACCGCACTCATTGGACTGTGACGGCAAAAAGCGAGAAATTGTATTAATCATTATTCGATCGTTTTATTTTTTAAAGAATGTACTGATTTCCATTAATAAATAAAGCGAATGATTTATATGTATATAAATAGCTATTTGTATAATTCATTATTTATATAAATAATTTGTATAAATAATGAATTATATCTATATACATAATCATCGTTTTCGTCGTTCCTAGAAGGCGTAGCTACAAAAAGAACATTTTCATATTTACTTATTTTCTCTATATGTTCCTTTACGATAAACGATAAGCAAGGTCCTGGAAAGAAGAAACGCGCAAAAAATGTAATAAAATATTCTGAAATATATAAATACGTCGAGATAAATTAGTTCTGTTATTTTTCTCCCGTTTATCATAATAGATTTTATAATAGAAATAGCTCCACGGCAATTAGCTGTAAGGGTTGAATACAATTCGCGTTCAACGGATTCCGCTCGATCCCACCACTGTATATTTGCGAGCTCTGTCGCGGATAGAATAGAGTATAAACTTACTTCATTCGCCGAATGGCTAAGGGGACGATTGGAGCTCGGTACATTTCGAATGCAAATGAAACAGCTGATTTATCTCGACTAGTAGGAAAAAAAGATTGATGTAATTTCTTGCTTGTGACGCTACGATCGTCGTAATATCAGGATCGATCAAGAAGTCGAAAGAAAGCTTACGGAGAAAGTATATGTAGTACAGACATCCGGATTAACCCGTTCGATCCGTCGTCATCAAAGTGGGATACGACGAATTCTAGGTGTTACAAAAGTTATGAAAATAGTGTAAAAAGAACTTTAATGATTTTAAATCAAACTTCGGACAAATTTTATACCGACACACTGTTTGCACAAGATCCAAGCTTGATTTAAAATACAATGAAAATGTCTTGCGGTTATGAGTTCTTAAATCAGCTCAAGTTTAACGCTCAAAGCCTCATTAATTTTCGGCGATTGCTGCGTATTTACTACGTATTTTCGGCTTGGTAACGCTAGCGAGTTGACGGAAAACCCTTTCCCGTACTAATACAGGGTGTATCATACATCTTTTTACGAAACTCGTGGGAAGACAGAACGGATTGAGATAAACGAAAAAGTCCCGTGCCATTTTGCGATCTTCTTAATAATAAACGAGAAATTAATTGTTTAAATCGGACGAATGAGTGCGCGCCGAGAGAAAGTAGCCGGCCATCGCAACGCGCTGTCCCCCCTTGGCGCGTGCTGGCAGTCGACACCCAATCTCTAGCGGCTCGAGCGCTTCTCTTGGCGCACACTTGTTCGTCCGATTTAAAAAATTAATTTTTCGTTTATATATTATTGAGAATATCGCAAAATGGTACGGAACTTTTTCTTTTATCACATTGCTAGTCCGTTTTACCTTGTCACGAGTTTTGTAAAAAGCTGTATGATTCACACCCTGCATATTAGCGTTCTCGTTAGAGCTAGGTGTCTAGATGTCCTGTAAGCGACCCTGGCCTGTGCATGCCGCTCATGATCGATTACAGTGGCATTACACGAAACGGACGCACGACGATCGATAGGCAAACGCTTGTCCGCTTGACGCAATGTATAACTATCGTAAGTGTTGCTGCATTTCGGTGTACTTGTGATGGAAATGAAGAAGGAATCGAAGGAATGTTGGTTCTCTCTCTCTCTCTCTCTCTCTCCCCCTCTCTCCCCCTCTTGCTCTCTCATTCTCTATCTGTAAATACATCTCATTGTCAGTTTCTCTCAATGGTTTTTCTCCTGACGTTACGATCACTTTTACCACATATATTCGACAATCGTTCTGAATGTAACGCATGTACGAACTCATATGTGACAAGCGTTAGTCGTGGCACGATCGAGTAATAAACGACATTTATTCTCCCTTATTTACGCTCTTCTATGTTTAACCTTAAGGTAGCTCCTGCACGAAAAACCGATTAGTATGGGTGCTTTGGTGGGACCTCCTTTTAGTTTTGTAAATTATAATTTTTTTAATTAAAAATCACTTAATGCATTATTGATCAATTGCATTTATATGCTGGGTTATATATATATATATAAACATAAAAAATATGTGATATTGTAAAGTTTCAAAGAGCTGTCAAATTTCCTTAAAACATATATTGTATCTTTTGACTTTACTATAATATATAATAAGTATTTGCTCGCAAAGGTCAGTGACCTTATATGTATACTTAATGTAAAGCACATTTGAATCCTTGTGACATTTATTATGTTTATCTCGTTGTTAAGATCTACTTTTTCTATAAAATAATATTAACCCTCAAAGTGCTTCTACGAGCGATCGGCCCATAATCCCTATCCTAGTGAACACCAATTAAGTTACGTAACATCAAATATTATAACCCAACAGCACCAAGTCGACTCACACTCACACACGCACACACACACACACACACACACACACACACACACACACACACGCGCGCGCGCGCGATGTGCACAATCCGACCGGCAACCTACACGTGGTGCACATTGGATAACGCTAATACCGGCGGTAAACATCATTTTTCAAGAAAATGCATGGTTCGCTTCAAAGTCATGTAACTCGGCCAAGAAAAATCGTAGGAAAATTTTAAAAAAGCATTTTGTAGGTAAAATGTTGTAGATTGTGGAACTTGCATCAAATTTGTCGAGAGAAATTTTTTTTATCGAGCTACAGTGTGTCAAAAATACGTAATTTTAAGGAACAAAACAATGTATTCTTTTTTAAAGCACAGAACGAGGAAGATGAATATATCGAAATAAATCATTGACAGAGTTTTAAAGTTGAAACTTCAAGCTTTAAGTTGCTTTTTTAACTTTGTGTCTACGATTATTTTTCGCCGAGTTTCAGTGGTTTGAAAATAGCCCAATTTTTAGGGTATAAAAAGTGTTCCCTATTTTTTTTTTAGTAGTGTATAAAGGGAATCTTAAATGGATGTCCACTGGACGTCCGTTTATGCACATCCAATGTATATCTTTGTATGGATGTACAATGGACAATGGACGATCTTATTATGTCCATGGACGTATGCGACGTATGGTAGTAAAATGAACGTAAAACGGACGTCCATAAGGCTGGGTCTACATTGGATGTCGTAAGTCGTGTCGGAAGAAATTGATCAATCGCAGTTCATTATTCTTCGACCGTAAAGCCTTCGCTACAATG